AACGGGGAAACGCTCTGGCACGCCTACATGTCGGCCGGGAAGTGAGTGTGTTCGTTGCTGGCACGTAGACGTGAGAGTTCTCGTGAAGGGGCTAAAGATATGTATAAAGAAGCAGATTACAGTCTAAAGTCTTTAATCCGGACTTGTCGGGACTTCCGAGATTCCGGATTATCGATTTTTCCGGTTTATAGATCATCAGTTTAAATCTGGTAAGATGGCATGCAGAAATTATAAAATTAAAAATATGAAACCGCAATTTATGAAATAAAGAACAATTATAATCTAAAGATTATCAAAATTTACAAAAAAAAAAGCTTAATATTTATTTGTTTACTTTATTAAACATTTCTTTCAACGCACGCATGCATAAAGCATACATTACGCATAGTCGAAATTAGAAAATTGCAACCAGAAAACTATTTGATTTGTATTCGTGATATTTATAACGACGAGGAATTTGATTTAAATCGTATCAAAGACAGAGTACATCGTGATGAAATACTACATTTAGTAAGGAATTATAAGCCGAATAAAATAAAAACATCTGTCCTGAAGATAAGGATAGTGCTGACAGATCAACTTCCAGTTCATTGCGCGCCACGACGTCCCCCTCCCCGCGCAGAGCAGTGTGAAATTGATAAACAGATTTCGGAATGGTTAGAGAAACAAAGGAGACTTTATCCATTTTTTGCAGTAATTCCACTTTTTGTTTGATAGACATCGAAACATGCTTTCCCTTTGCAGATGATCCTTTTGCAGCTCCAGCATCAGAAATTCTATTTGACATAATCAAAAGTTCGAACTTACTTTTATAAAATTGCTCTAACTGTCTGCAAAAAATAATACGCCGGATCCAATTCGAAGATTAAGGAACAATGCAATCTGCAACATTAACTGAAATAGATAATTAGATAATTTTAGCTTAGCTTATACTGTTCGTTATACATTTAACGCGCATGTGTAAGCGTATTATGGGCATGCGTGCACGCATATGCACTTGCGTAAACATATCTGCGCATGCATCAATGCATCGGATTATAGATCATTCCGAATTATGGGTGTCCTGTTAACGACTTTTGACTGTATTTTGGTAGAAACAAAAAAGCTGACCAATACTGACATTTTCATCACTTAGCAAAATTATGTCAACGAGGTATTGCTAAAATTTCACATGCAACAACTAATCTTGTATATACACCTATAGGAAAAAAAAATCACTTCATGAAACATGATCTAATGATTTAGAAAAACCTTCTGATGTTTCCTATAGATCTGTTAACATACAGTCCAAAGTCGTTAATTTGGACACCCATAATCCGAAATGATTTATAATCCGGACCTCAAAGCTACAAACTTTCTGCGCATGCGTCGAGTTGACGCTTAAGACTTTTACGGCTGCGAATATGCGTTTACGCTCGCGCGTTTCAAGTATAACGGACGGTATAAGCTAAGCTAAAATTATCTAATTCAGTTAATGTTGCAGATTGCGTTGTTCCTTAATCTTCGAATTGGATTCGGCTTATTATTTTTTGCAGACTGTTAGAGCAATTTTATGAAAGTAAGCTTGAACTTTTGATTATGTCAAATAGAATTTCCGATATGACTGAAGGCAGGGAAATTTCTAAATAAAGTAAGTGGTTCTTTCCTTTGTGCAGTGCTAAGATGAATTTCCTTTTTTATATTATTTGATTGTTTGATTTAAAATGTCATTTCTTGATATTATATATTTTTTGTTGGCTGCTCTTTTGACTTTTTAAGTGAAAATATGTCGATGCGTACATGGATATCGAGTTTGTGCAATTCTTTGACTTGTTATTTTGGCTTTGTGTAATGGAATCACCGCAACACAAAGCCAAAATAACAAGCCAAAGAATTGCACAAACTTCGTATCCATGTGCAGCCAAAAATCGCCAATATTTGCCAAGTGGCACCCGTAAATGTAATTTTACCAAAGTCTTTACCCAAGAAATGTTTCCAAGAGCTAAGAATAACTTCGGATATAGCAAATATTACAGAATTGGAAGTTCACGAGAAAGTGTTGAAAATGCAAACTTCAATTCTATAATTTCTGATTTTTTTTTTACTTTCCTGAACTGAATTTATGTCCTTTTCATATTTAAATTTAGCTTCCCTCAACAGTTTGATTGTTATTATCATAAAATGAGTATGTATGCACACATTGTTCGAGATTTATCTTATTTTGTCTACTTTCTATAGTATAAATTAAAAATATTTTCCTTGAAGTGCCCAGTTTGTTACCTACTTAAAATTTCTCCTAGTAATATTTTTTCCAAGAGTTAACATTAATAGACAAAGTTTTAATAAAACTATTTTGAAATACTTAAAAATTAAAGAATAAATTTAAACAGCATTTTCCCTCTCCCCAAGAAAATAGGTATTCATGCTGAATATTTTAATAAATTTGAATTACTGGCAATTAATTATAAACATTACCATTACTTATTAATATTAATCAGGCTCATTATTTATTAATAAGGTTTTCAATTTTTTAAATCCTAAAAACAAATAATATGAAAGTTTGAATGATGAATGCTTTGTACGATTTACGATACCAATTATTTTTCCTTCTTCCAAAAAGCTAATTTTTTTTAGCATTGAAAACATTACTTAATAAGAGATTTTGATAATTTTTAAATATTTATGCTCTTAAACTTCTTGAAATGCCTACAAACAAGTTTAAGAACATAAATATTTCAATGTTCTCAAAACTTTTATAAAATACTTTTCAACATCCCATTTTGGCTCTAGTGTAGAATTGGGTGCCCCTTCGATTTGCGACATTTTTTAAAAAATTTTGGCGATGAAACCTCACTTCTAGTTACCACGATAGTTTTAACTTTGTTTTAGCTTCCCGATTTTATTTAAAATGAAAATAGATTTATGTGTACATGGACATATTTAAAGCAGTGCGTAATGCCTAAGTTGTTTTTTTTAAGTAAAAACAGATCGATGTGTACATGGACACAGATCTTGGGCAATTCTTTGACTTCTTATTTTGATTTTTTGTAGCGGCCATCTTGAAATTGTGCCTTCCTGGCGCCGATCTTGGCGTCAAAAAAGAATCGCCAATAAACAAGGGGCACCCAATTGTAAACTTTTAACATAAAATTTTAAAAAAAAGGTCTCCCTTTGATTTGTAAGTAGTTTCACAAAAACAAATATGATTATGAATTTTGTACAATTTTTCGATTTTTGCAATACGTAATGATGTTACGTACTGCAAAAAACATGTTAATATTTATGGCTCATTAGCTTATTATGTAAGCAAATGACCTTAAATGCATACTTCAAGTTAAAATCAATATCTAAAAAATCTATTCTACTTATCAATTTATTTAATAAAGATGCTCTCAAATTACTGATGTTTATATTAACAGAAATAAACCTACACTACATTAGATGCTTTCAAATTACTGATCTTTATAGTAACAGAAATAAACCTACACTATATTAAATAACACATGAAGCATGAGATAATCTCCAATGTAAACTCCAAAATTCTGGAATGGAACAGCACATTTACTTCTCAGAGAAACTGCATTATGTATTTACTTAATAATACACACTTTGCAACTACCAAAAAGTATATGGTAGCAGAGATAATATAACTAAACTATTTTTTTTTTTTTTTTTTCAAATTATACATGTTAAAACTTACAATTACATTAATCTTCCTATTTCTCATTTAAGATAATCATGGTTCTTAATTTATCATACGATGCTCATATTTAATGTCAATGCTAAAATAAATTACTAGTAATGAATGTTAAGGAAAAAAAAAAATAGTATGTTAAACTCAATATTCGCCTGTCTCTGTCCTTACGAGTACAATAGTATTATTAATAAATTAAGGTCAAACATTCTTAAAATTAAATCAAAGAATGCAAGTAAAGGCATGCAAGAGAAATTAAATGTCAACTTTTGATATTAATCATTGTATTAAAAAATATGACACAATAGGAATTAACTTATTAATACTTTCAGCAAAAACCAATGTCTGAAACTCGATTTATATCCCTCAGAGACAGACGGAAAACGACAGCGAATAAATCAGCATAAACAAATGTCTGAAACTCTGTTTATATCCCTCAGTGACACACGGAAAACGACAGCGAATAAATCGTTTCTTGCATGGCATATGAACTAAAATTTGTATGTAGCTATTAATTAAGAGAAATATACAAAGTATAAATCTGCTTGTCAAAATAATATGAGTACAGATGCACTAAACATTCACAAAGTGTTTAAAAGTACTTTCAAAATACGATCGCGAAAATGATACTCGTACAAAAAAAAGATTTCATACGCAAGCTATCATCATATTAATTCATTTTTTGACAGTCAGCTATAGATGATTGAGAATATGATTTTTTTCAAACAACATATAAGAAACAAGATATGGTAATAACTTACTTTCCAAGACACACGCCCACAAAACACTTCAAAACCGATAAACTTTAAAGTACAGAATTTACCCACCTGTCATAATCACAGATGTTGCCAGAACTACTGTTAAAAATCAATTATTGTCATTTGTATTGATATTATTCTAACAGTTATGAATATTATTCATAAGTCTTTAAAAATACTGATATACTATAAACTTTAATAATTCTTTTGATAACTATTATCATTTTTACTTTCAAAATGTTAACTGTCACATTTGTAATTCATTAACAATAACAATGAAAAACTCCGAAAAGGTAGAATATATTTTTTACTTTTTTTCCAAAAGAAAATTGTGACGCTACGCTTTGGCTACAAAACAACATTGGAAACATTGCTTAGTAATGACGCCACTTTTGATATCATCTTCCCGGAAGATCATGAAATGCAGTCCAATATAAAAACAATAATAATTTTTCATTGCATGTTTTAGTAATTTTACTTAATTGCAAACTCAAGATTGTATCCATTTCATAAAAACTGTTTCGTAGTCTCTTTTAATGCAATAAATTCTTTCACTGTAGGTTATCCATTATTATGTGTTCTTATGAATCCGCTTTATTAAAGTGTGTTAAGCATCGTCATCGCATTTTTGTTTACTTTTTTATGTTTTGATGAGCGTCATTTCACCGCTGAGAATTCCTGCAATAGGAATTTGTTCCTTTATTTCTATGTAAACACCTGCATTTTTTTTTTTTTTTTTTTTTTTTTTTTTTTTTTTTTTTTGGGTAAACTTCTTTCAGAGTTTGAAATTTTAATGCTTTTTTCAGAGATGTGGATTTTCGGTTATGGATCTTTAATGTGGAAAATTAATTTTCCGTATGAACAGAAAATAATTGGTTATATTAAAGGTTTTAAACGCCGATTTTGGCAAGGAAGTGAAGATCATCGTGGAATTCCTGGTTCAGTAAGTTTATATTTGCAAAATAACTGCAAAGTAGAAAGTTTTGTAAAATTAAAAATAACTGTTACTTACACAGAATGTCGGGCATAACAAATGTGTTTGTGTGTAGGATCTCTTTTAGAAAATACTCTCAATTGTAAAGTATTAGGTACTTGATCTTTCAAAGTGCTTTTAATGTAAAATGCCATGAGAGTAATCAAGTAAATTAATAATTCTGTCAATTTTTAGAATATGATGTCATTTTGTAACTGTTGGCATGCTTGACCAAAATAATATGTATTATAATGATAGTTGGAAATACATATATCATTTATATATGGAACTGCATATAATTATTTAATTTTGAGCAGTCAAGTGGACATATGCTGATACAATGTATGATTCTGTTTTTCATTAAATAATTCAAAAATGAATGCATCATTTATCTAAAATAATTTTGCATTTTTGATATATGGCATTGCATACATAAGAAACTGGACCTAAATATGGTTAATAATTTATGTTTTCCTTTTTGGCTAGAATGTTTCATCAAAGTAAAGATCTAAGAAAACAATGTACAGAGATACTCCCAGGAATCCAAAGCTAATTTTTCTCGTGTGCACTTTAAAAGGCTTAACGGAACAGGTAGCTGCTTTTAACAAAACTTGCAAATCCTGCAAGTTAATCAGCGGCGCATCCAGCGGTACTTGGAACTTGGTAGCTGCTTTTAAAAGCCACAAGTGATAACGCTAAATAGCTCTTGATGTAATCACAGAATCTACTAGGAAAAATTAACTTAAAAGGCAGAAAATACACATTTTAGGTATTTTCCATTCTAAATTATGATACAATACGTACATCATTGGTATCATAGTAACTTTTAATATGAGGAGAGAATAGCACATCACTTATGTCATAAACTTGTAACCATATTAAAGAAAAAGTTATTTACATGGTAGTCACTAAACTCTAGTTCTGTTTTGTTACTTTAGTATAATAAAAACCTAACAGAATTTTATCGGCCAACATAATTCCACAAATTTCTTAAACACACCTCAAATATCAGATAAATACTGAATGGGATGCCTGATAAAACATTGGCTTCCAAATATATTAAATAATATGATTATATTTGTTTGCAACAGGTTCCGATAAATTCAGAAAAGAAATAATTTGTAGATTTTACAAAAAGTATATGGGTGGGAATTGTAAAAAACAGTCTTTGCAATTTTTTATATCATGCATATTTTTTAGGAAATCATTTCAGTATAATTTAATAATCAATTTTCCAACCATAAGATCTAGGATAACTCTCAGTCAAGTTCCTGAGTTAATTCTTGGTCTTGACCCTTTCTTTCTATTAGAATAATGGGTACTTTTCCGTTTGGCCGGCGCAATTTCCCATTTCGCCGGCGCAAGCGATAAAGTCGCCGAAAATGGTAGAACTGATGCCAAAGCGAATATCTTCGCTGATAACCTTTCACACCACTTTTTCAAAACAAGTCACTGTTATTTCTTATCAGATTGACCTTCGTTTCTTTCAATGTTGGCATACAGTTACATAGAATTTTTTTAATTATAATATTGAAATAGTTCTTGCATTTCAAACTCGAATTCTATACTAAGATTTAACTTGAAAGTAATGTAGATAATTACTTGAGAGAATCAGATTTTTGTAGTGTAGTTTGCGTGAGAGGAGATCATTTGGGATCATGTGATATGAAACCGGCGAATCAAGATGTTATACCATGAAAGCATAGTAAATTTTTAACGTCTTTAAATTCTAAAATTAACGTCTTTTTACAAATATGTCAAAAATTGGATGAAAAACCAATGAAAATTTGGGATTTGGCCAGGACAGAGGAAGAATCTGTCAGGGTTCTTTCAAGTGAAAGGCGTTTTGCCTAACATTTGCTATTTGTGATAAATAATTATGAAATGAAATTATATTTCGGAGACGAAATTCAATGGCGTTGCAACCTTTCAACTTGCCGCAGTAAAAGAAGTATACGGAAAGACACATGGTTTGAATCATCGCGATTGAGTTTCTTGAAGTGTTTCAAGATTCATTTATGGTTGGAGTGAAGAAGTTAAATGGTTCAGTTAAATGGTGTGAAAAGCAGTTGAAAAAAATCAGTCACGGAACAGTCGTGGATTGGAATAACTACATGCGAGAGGTTTGTGTGCATTCTTTACTTAAACGTCAACAACACAAAATAGGAGGCCCTGGTATGATCGTTGAAGTGGATTTGAAAGTATGTTCACGAAGAGCAAAAACAACGCGGGACGGATTTTACCACAACAATGGAATCTTTGTTGGAGTTTGTCGTGAAACAAACGAATGTTTCTTTGTGATGGTGCCAAGCCGATCCATGAGCATTATATTAGAGGCAATAAATAAAAACATCGAAAAAGGAACTACAATATATCCGATTCATGGAAATCATATTGCACTGAAAACTGGAAGAGGAAAATTTCGAACATTTCAAAGTGAACCATAAATACAATTTTGTAGATCCGGAACTGGAACGCACACGCAAAAAAATTGAAAGACTATGGGGAAGCGCAAAATGGCGGAATAAGAACAACAGAGGAACTGCTCGCATCATCTGGAAAGTTACCTCGCCGAATTTATGTGGCGAAAGGACACAAAAGACCCATTTGAAATAATTCTAAACGATATTAAAATGTTTACGCCTCCAAAATAAAAAAAAAATGTTTAAAATTCTTAGAATTAACATTTCTTAACATTTTTTTTATGTGTATACTGTGTGTTGTCGCCAATAAGGTCTGCTTGGCGAGATTTGCGCCGGAGAAAGGGAAATGGCGAGGTTTGCGCCGACGAAACGGAAAAATACCGAATAATGTTTTATCAGATGGTAAAAATAATAATAATAATATTGTAGTCACTTTGAACTTTGTGAATTTTTTATTTATTTCAAATTTATTACAGAGAATTCCCCACACACAATCAGATTTTTGCAAAATATTACTGGCTTTTATGTTTGCATTTGGAAAGACCCTTGTCATTCATAAAACATTTTAATCCTTATCTAATGATATTGTTTTAATGCTTGGTGTTTTGGCTTATAAATAATGTTTTATAAAAATCAATATTTCTGAAACCATACATGGCTGTAAAATTATAATAAAATGAGTAATATTTGCCTCAAACTTCATTATTTTCAGATTTTCTTATTAATAATTCAGAGTTTATGTATAATATTGTAAACTATGATCCATAAACTGAAATTCACCTGTCTTAAAATTGTCAAAGAAATTTATGAAATAAAAAGATGCTAAATCATTCAGCTCAGTGTGAAGATGAAATTTTAATGCATTTATAGTATTTATGTATTGGAGCAACTATTTTTTTTTTACAAGAAAATGAATGATGACTAATAATTGCTAAATTATTTATTACTCACACATATGTATTATTGCATACATATATTTTATTTGATTCTTTGATTATCCGCACATTCTGAAAAATATTCAGACGGTAATGCATTATGTCACCAAAATGGGCCAACTCATGACAACAGCAAAATGTATTCATTTAGCAATCCACTTAAAATTTGACCACCATTTTTCTGATTAATATTTTCTTTTAAACATTATATATATATATATATATTTTTTTTTTTTTTTTTAAGGAATCATAGTGAGACTGCGGAATTTGCTGGATATTGAAAAAGATGTATTTCCTCAGAAATATGGCATTTTCTCCTACAGTAGCAAATGCAAAAATTTGCATCCCATGAAATTATACTTAAAGATAAAATTTTATGAATCGGAATTTTTGCGTGATGCTAAATTTGTGCAGTTCTCTGATGTTTTTCTAAGTGAAAACAGACTGCCGTGTACATTGGGAAAAATAGTGCACACAGTACCAAATTCGTGCGATTCCTTGATTTTTTTTTTACGTGAAAACTGATTACTGTATGGGTAAGTGATCCCCCAAAAAATAATAATTAAAGGTAGAAATTTCTTGAAAAAAAATAAGAGTTTAATACCAGGTGTTTCTTGCTTTTTTAAATTTTGTTGATACCATTTTCAAAATGGCCATTGCCTTTCACATATTAGCCTAATGAAAAATTAGTTGCCAACTTTTCACGGGAGGAAGGCAAAAATAATGTTAAAAGTACTTTGTATTTTAATTAGGTTTTTATCTCAAACAAAACTATTTACAAGTAGGTTTTCGTTTCTTTTGATTTGGTGAAAATTTCTTGACAATTGTTTTAAGAATAGTTTCAAATTAATTGTTCTCTTTAGAAAATTTGAGGCAAAATCATCCATTCCTGTAAAAATTTTATCACATTTTTGTTTCATTGTAGGCAAATCCCTTAAGTACATATTTTAAAATTGAGTTTAATACAGAAAATATTATGATTTTCTATAAAAATTGTGGAACATGGAATACAACAAAAAGAATGCTTACAAAAACAGTAACTATTCTTGTTAAAACTGAAGAGCTATTATGTCCATGTTGCTAGAATTTAGTTTATTCTGAAAATTTAGTGACTTCTTATAAGAGGGTTATATTAATAATCAAGTACCCTTTTGCTATTACTGATGAAACATTGTGCTATCTGGATTAATTTAACACTTAAGTACAGACATTCATTTTCTGTTACGTAAACATAGAGGAGGGGTCTCTTAGACCGCACTCTATTTTATGCATTTTAAAAATATAAAATTTTAAAATAATGCACTATTGTTATTATATAAGCATCAAAACACTTTCCTTGTTATATTGAAGTAAATAATTATTTTTAAAACTAAAATTAATGCATTAAAAATTTATACAAAAAAGTGTGGAACACTTATCAAAATAAATGAAATAAACACCATTACTTGCAAATGCGTATAAACTAAACTATTTAATAAATTTTCCATCTACAGAATCTAGATTAATAAAATAATGTAAAAAATGTATAATATAAAGAATATTAAAAAACCACAGCACATAATTTTAAGCATTTTCAACACAATTTTTAGGAAATTTTCTTGGCACATTCATT